GAGGGAGTTTGTGCACAGCTCTGCCACATGCACACAGAGACCACGGCCGTGCCTCAAGCAGCCAGGGAGAAATGCAGAGATTTCAGAGGGAAAAAATAAATTTAAAGAAAAGGGAATAAAGAAATAAAGAGATCACCCTCATCATGTTGGGTGAGGAAGGAACCCAGAGCCCCTGGCTCCTCTCTTGGGGCTGTCCCACAGCAGCTCTCCACAACCTGACACTTATCCCTTCGGTTCTTCCACCCTCTTCAGTGCTCCCACAGTATATCCCAGGTTTCTGCCAAGACTGTTCTTACTGTAGAGGTGCAATAGGAATCAAGGAAAAACAAACAAAAACCCTCCCAAACCCTCACACATTCAAAAGAATCGAAAGCCTTCTGCAAGTTGCCCTTAAAGTTCAAAACACCAGATCTGCTCTATCCTTTTCTGTTAAATGACTCTCCAGGGCAGAAAATCACTGAAGGAGGAAATACATATGAGTGAGGAGCAAGGGATCTTTAATTAGACAATTTTATGATGTTTTGTCAGGTTTTATTCCAATTGCAGACAAGTCCTTGGAAGACAGAATTCTCTTTAAGACTTTCACTGGCACCTTCATCTCTGAGCTGGGTCTGAAAAAGCTCCCAGCAGCTTGCAAAAATTAAGTTACTACACGAGGCAATGAAATAAGTCAATTGAAGACCTGGCACATGTTTCCTTTTGCTCTCCCTGCTATACAGAAGCGACCTTTGGCAGCAGCCAGGGCACGCAGCTGCAGGTAGTAATATCTTAAACAACTGCAAAAGCAGAACCCAGAAAAGATTCCCAGTTCAACCTCTAAAGATAAAGAGAACAAAACCTGACCAACATATTTTTTCCCCTCAGAAGTTCTCTAATAGCTCATAAAGAAAACCAGAGGCCAAATTGCCCCTGCTCCTGCCTTTCACAAGCCTCTTTTGCAAGACCATGAAATATTGGCGGTACATCCCAGGTAACACATACCAGAAGAGCAATCGCATGATAATTACTGGGTGGCAAGAGATGTTTGTCTCATGCTCTCCCCAAAATCCTTGCCACCCTCTCCTTGGATGAATTTTCTAAACTGATAGAAAGCAAATCTTAAAGGTTCATTAAAAAAAAAAAAATAAATAAATAAATAAAAACACTTACAAAAGTGTTTTTAGCCCTCACAACAACGTTTGGTCAGTATTATAAAAAAAGCCTTTTTACAACTTGAAATACTCAAGAAGGCTTTATAAGGGAAGGGGATAGGAAAAAGTAGCTACTTTTTATATCACAAGATGCTCCCCGAGTGCCCCGTTCCACAGGGCGGGCAGGGATGCGCAGTGCCCGTGCAAAAGAGCTGCTCCTAGACCGGGGGCCTCCAGCCCACAGCCCGGCGGTGTCTCGAGGTGCTCAGGAAAGCAGCAGCATTTTGCACTCCAGGGCTCAGATGTCATCAACAAATGCACTGAAAACGCTCAGTCTCATAGCAAGGCTGAGCTGCTAATTGTGATTTTTCTGGCGGGTGGATTCAGGCAGCAAAGCGGAGCGCTTCACGTCAGGGGATGCAGCTACAAGACGGGCGTCCCCTTGTCCCTGATAACACAGCTCCATCTCTCAAACCCAACAAAACAGGGATTTGCCCAACTTGCTTACACATATCACGGCTTCCAAAGGCCTCAGCATCACCATGGGACTAGGATTTCTAATCCAAACGACATCCAGGCTCTGCAAACTCAGACAGACCACTTACCCTCTCACCTCAGCACAAACAGCAACCCCGATTAAGCTATTCCCTAGAGCCTCTATGAGGCCATGCCTCTAGGAACAAGACAAGATGGTACTCACCAGCTATGGAGACACGGCAGGCAGCTGCAGGCACCTCCAGAAGGGCTGGTGCCACTTCCTCGTGCCTGATTTAAGGACCCAGGTGCAGAAAGGCGCTTGGGAAAAGCTTTCAGGAGCAGATGACTCTGAACAAGGTCGTTAGCACAGGCTAGAAGACCTGCCCCCCTCACTGGCATCATGCTTTACAGCACAGGCATTGAGTCTGTCTATGTCACTTGCTAGTCACCAAAGTTCATTTTTTTGCTTACAGAGGAGAGCATGCTTGGGTTCAGACTTATGAAGGTGAGCACACAGCTTGCCAGACACCCAACTCCAGTGTGATTTTGAGGCCATAAATGCACAGCGTCCAGACTCCAGCACCAAGCAAAGCCATCTTACCCATCAGCTTCTCCTTAGCAGAGCTGCTATTCCAAAAACCCTCAGAAAAGGAGTCTTTTTTTTTTTTTCCCCCCAGGGAAAACACGGGTGTGCTTCTCCACCTCACAAACAGTATCATGGAATGACAGCCCGAGCAAGCAGAGGGAAAGCATTAATTTGAGGTGGGTGCCAGCAATTGGCTGGAGATTGGAAGCAAAAAGCCTTTCACCTGCCACTTTGCAACACAGAGTCAACAGAAACCCTCATACCTAGCTGCTATTTCAACAGGGTTTCATCAGTAAATAGAATTAATGTAAAAATCAGCTCTTCAAAGGGAATAGATACAAGAGATGCCCACAGTGAGATCTCCCAAGCAGACTCTCACCTTCCTACAGAGCACTGTTAAGAGCTGAAGTTGTTTGTTACTAATTGATTCAACGTGCATTTAGACTAGGATTTTTAATTAATTTTATTACAGAAAAATTAATGCACTGCTTCCCCACAGATGCATTAGGATCCGTCACAAGCAGCAGAAGCCACCCGGCAGCAGGGCCTTAGTTGTAGCTGGTTGCAGAGTCACCCTCTGTGTCAGCGGCAGGGCTCACCCAAAGGTGCTTCTCCCACCGCTAGGCTGAGAGCTTCCACTCAGCTCTYGCAGAAGTATTTACCATGTTGCAGCTGAAACTGGAGATGGGGGGCTCCCCTACCTCCCCAGGCCAGACTACTATAGTTTGGGGCTCATTTTTGGAAGCAGTGGGCTTGGCCCTGCACCCTGCTTCACCCCAGGGCCTGCCCGTTCAGTTGGATTTCCGAAGGATGCGGTGGGGTGCAATAGTGACCGTATTCTCAAGATTGTAACCTCGAGCATAAACCATTACAGTCACAGAAAAACTATCCCATGGTGGTGAGCGCCGCATCCGGGCCGAGCAGCGCTGGGATCCGGCGCACACGGGGCCGCTTTGGCACCGGCAGCTCCTTCCCCTCAAGCAGAGGCTGGCAACTGCCGTCTCTCTCCCCTAGAGCCACAAACTGGTTTTAACCACAGAAGCACAAGCCATCTCTTCTTAAGCCAGGCCTAAGAGGCTCGCCTTCCTCCAGGATGAGAGGCGCGCCAAGGCTTCGTGTTTGGGAACGGGAGCAGCCTCGCACGCAGCTCTGGCACATCCACCCAGAGGTACAGCTCCTCTCCCCCTTCCCCTATCTGTTTTATCAATATCCTTCTCTACATACGACAGATAATAAAATATAGATTTACGCTGCTTGGCTTTGGAGCAAAGGTGAAGTGTAAGTTTGTGATGGACAGCAGCCTAAAGCAAAAGTGGCCGCTTYGAAACACCACAAGCATTTCAGAGTGCAAAAAAAGACCATGTGGGGGGCGTTATTAATTAAGAGAACTGGATGGAATTAGGCAGTTCCCACTACCCCATCTTTGGACACTAATAACAATGGGGAGTGGACAGGGGACAGAAATCATGCGTTAAACACATTCACACTGTGCTATTTATCAATGACAGCGCACGGGAGGAAGCGCCATCGCTACATCTGCAATATCCAAATTTTGGTCCCCGGAGTCCTACACTAACAGTTTATTGAACTGTATCCCCGAGGCACGCCGTATTTTAGGCATTTGCAGAGCAGGAATAGGTAGCACTGTGCAAGGTCCAAGACCTTAATCAAGCCCTGCAACTCGATAGATTTCCAATACAACGAAGACAAAGAGGTGTCAGCTCTAGTTCTCATGTGTTAATGCTATCAATAGGGGCTCAGCTCACTAGCAGTTAATTCAAAGCCAAGCTCGATTTGCACAGCAGTGATCTACACTAATTCCCATATGTGGCTAAGGGGAGATTTTGCCAACTAGACAATAGAAACAGTATTATAGCTCCTGAAATGATGCCATTGCATCTCTCCCCAACACTCCTCCTCTGCTCCACCACTTCCCCATCAGATTTCCGTACTGGCAGCTCCAACCATCCTTTCCCCCTTGCATTGGAAGGGACACAGGAAGAATAGGGAATACAAGAGCACCTATTTCTTTTCCAGATGCAGCTTTATTTGGGCTTTTAAAAATGCGACTTCCCATAAGATGGGAGCCAATTCAACACTTTTTATTGAAGACATGAACAATCGCCATAGTGAAGCCAATATAGAAATATTTAAGTGATCCACCTGAAACAGCCCTTAAAAGTTTGCCACATGTTGCTACATTCTGTAAGAGCCCATTAGCTCACTCCATCCAAAATGAGCTTATCCTGCTTTCAGGTTTAACCATCCCAACTTTGGACTGGCCTCAGTTTCACCAAGACACCAAACTTGTCGAGGAGCTGCAGGAAGCAGGAAACACTACCCAACGAAGCTACGTTTTACCCATCGGAAAAGTTTTTCCTGCTTAAAAACCTGGCCCTCCTTAGCATTAGTTTGGCTCCAAGAAGGGGATGGCAGCAGCCTGTACGCACAGGTCAGACAGTGGGTGACTGTCCTCTGAAGCGAGCTGCTGGGGGCAGCCAGCACGGCCAGCCTGCTCTTAATGCAAGTTCCCTGACACGCACCCACATCCTGTTGGTTGCAGCGCCAACGCTGACACCCAGCTGGCCCCAGGGCAGCGAAGGGTGCCAGCTTTTGGCAACGGGGCCATTTCAGGGCCAAGGCAGTCAGATCACCAGCTTGTTAATGCTCATGTTAACGCTGAAGAGCCCCAGCGTGGGCCTGGGGAGGCAGCAGCAGCAAGGCAGCAGCCGCAATGYGGCCACGCAGTGACGGAGACCTGCCCTTGCTCCCCAACCCACCTCGTGGAGCCCAATTCAGATTTGCACTGGCATCGTCAGAAAAGGACACATACTAAGTACCTGTGCCACACTCCTAGTTCAGCAGGGAGTTAGACTAGGCGCCTTTCTCCTGCTGCAAATTAAGATGCTAGAAAAAAACACAAGTCCGAAACAGTTTAACACAGGACAAAAAAGGCACATTTTAATATGTACAGCAATGCATTTGGGCTATAAATTTACCCAACACAACTGGAAAAAAAAATCCAAACTATGCTTTTATACTTATTCCATGGTGTCAGCCTCATTCCTAGCCACCTACCTTTCTCTGCATCTCTGAATGCTGCTATATACACACACAAACAAACAATTACGTCATGAATGTTCATTTAGGCTCCCAAGTTCAAGTAATAAAGTTCAAACTTGCATAGCATCTTATGCCACTCAGCCATAAACAGTTACGATTGCATATTAGCTGGAGCAGCCATCTCTTTCAATTCAGCCAGTTGTGGCTGGCCACCATTTATTTTATTTTTTTAATCCTTGAGTCAGAATGTTTCCTAAGTCACCAGCCCTGAGGGATGCCACAGACTTCAAAATGAACCTCTCGCTGTTGTTAAGATCCTCTTAAACCAGAAATTTAGAATGTTGTCAAGAACAGTTTTAAAAATGTAATACTGTTTATTTTGCTTCAAAAACATTTCAGCATTCTAAACATACAAAAAAAACAGAACGTTGCAAATTGGTTTAAGTACAGAGTGTTTTTGAACTTCAGTTGCTGCACTGGCTCTTCACTTCGTTGACAATGAAGAGATGTCTACAGTTTCAGTTTAAAAACTACCGCACTTAACTAAAAAAATCCATACACTTCTCATGCCAGCTGAACCCCCTTCCACAACTAAGAATGGCAGCAGAATGCTATTTCACTATATACAGAAAGACAACTTTAAGCTAAATGGACGCCCACTGTAGTGTAAATAGATCTACCCTCACAGTGCATGCTTTGGGCCATGGCACCCCGTGGAACGTACAGCCTTCCAAGTAATCACTGCTCCTCTAAGGCATCATAACTCTAAGCATGTACCACAAGAATCTGTCTAGTTTTTACAAACTATAGATATGTACAGTTTATAACCCAGGATTTTCTAGCCAATAACCATATAGTAACACCACCTTACAAATTAAAAAAATGCTTGAAACATTTTTAAATGCTTTGTTACACCAACAGCAAAGTGCACAGAGTTAGGAGAACACTAGAGCGCCTTTTCATTTTAAAAATGTTTGGAAATATGTACAACTTTGATACAGTTTCAGGGTGCTCACTACACCCATGGCCACTTCATGTAAACCAGTTACAATTTCTATAGCACTTTTAGAAACTACAACGCGATCGGAATCCAAATTTTTTTTTTTAATTAAGCCTAATAAGGGCAAGAGACACCATCTCAAATAAGAGGTGCTTCATTTATGGTGTTTCCCCTACTCTATGGTATTCACATGGAGACAAGTATTGTACAGTTTTATTCGTCATCATCATCTTCATCCTCCTCTTCTTCATCCTCCTCCTCCTCTTCGTCTTCTTCCTCTACCTTTTTCCGAGCAGCTTTGGTTGCTGCTCCCTTTGCGCCATCAAACTTTCCTTTAGACTTGTAGTCTGCGACATCCTGCAAAGTCAAGGGGACGTCTTAATTTGCTCTAAGCAGCAAACACAAAGCATTTGTACAGCAGTGGGTGCAAAGTGTAAAGGGACTGGCCTTCCACAGCTGCATTCCCTACAAGGAAGGCAGCCAGCACTACAACAGTCAGGTCTGCAGACACCCAAGGATACTCAACTGCCTCCACATAGTCCTCAAATCCTGTGCTCAGTTATTTCTTTGAGGAGGAGAAGGGAAAGAACTGAAGTTTCTAGCTAACATGATAAAGCTTTTTTAAAAGCACAGCAAACTTTGCTGGAGCAGCACAAACAGCCTCGACAAAGTTCTCCTTCCTCTTTGGAACTGACCTGCGGGTCTCTCACCTACTCTCTTCACCGCRCGCCCAGCCGTAACGCAGCGGGGCCTCGTAGCACACAGTGCATTTAGGACATGTCTACCTGCCAACAGCCATAGGTGCTCGTTACACTGGGGCCACCTTAGCTTGGTTTATTCTACAGAAGCACATTAACACAAGAACCAAAATGGAAAAACGACACAAGTAACAACAAGCCTTACCTTCTCGTACTTCTCCTTCAGCTTAGCTGCCTTATTGTTATAAGGCTGCTTCTCGCCATCACTGAGGTTGTTCCACATTTCACCCAGTTTCTTTGCTACATCCCCGATGGATATGCCAGGGTTTGTAGACTTGATCTTGGGGCGGAACTCCGAACAGAACAGGAAGAAGCCAGACCTGTGAGAAGCATCAGAGGACAGTAAGAATCCTCCCCCGGAAAAGCACTTCCCCAAGGATCTGTGGTCTTGCTGTTGTGTTTGCTTTCCCCCTCCCCAAACTCGGGCTCAGACTTACAGTCCCTCCTCTCCACCCCCAATTGCTGTTTTTGTTGTCTATCTCCCAAGTTTGATTTGCTTAAAACACACAAGTCTCAACAGCAAGCCTTCCATCTCCATGTCTTTCATGATCATGAGTTTAAGAACCCCCAAGAACTGCACAATTCTTTGCATGCTCAAGACCACAAGCTGCCTAAAAAGTCTATGAAATGATACCAACAAGTTATGAACGTCGTCAATACTTCTATATTCACTCAGCTACTTTTCTAACGGAAAATTAACAGGTAGGCCACAGCACTCTGAGCTCTGCCAAAATAACATTCATGCGCTTGATTCCACAGAGTCACTTACGGTGGTCGCTTAGGGGCATTGGGGTCCTTCTTCTTCTTGCCACCCTTAGCGGGTCCATAGTCCTTCATTTCTCTATCATATCGTACCTTATCAGCCTTTGCCATCTCATCAAACTTAGCCTTCTCCTTGCTTGACATGGTCTAAAACAACAAAACAAGACATGAAACCACATGATTACCCCACTGTTCAATAGCTGGCAAACTTTAAATAAACAAACCAACACACACCAACTTGATGGGGGATTTTTTTTCCCCCCTCCTTTTTAGATAGTTGGTTGGTTTTCCAATCAGACCTCCTTCAAAGTTCCTACACCAAGGACTGGAGCCAGGACTAGAGTAGTGAGGATAAGGGAAACAGCTGGAATGGCACAAATACACCCCAAACCCTCCTTGGGAAGACAGGCCTAAGGGAAGGCAGCTCTTAAGAGCACTGTAAGGGAAGAGGAAGACCACCTAGGCTTAAAGAAAGCACCTAAATGGACAAACACACAGCTACTACAGGACTCAGCAATAACAGACTGATGACTGGCCCTGACTGCCAAGAATATCATGTTGACTGAAACACCAGCAACTTCTTCCATGCTCAGGCGAGCGTGGTTTAAGTTACAGAGACCAAGGCACGTTATTACTCCAGGAAGCCACACGCTATAGTACCTTCCACCTCTCTGAGCACTTCTTGGAAAACTCTGCAAAGTTGACGGGAACCTCTGGGTTCTTCTTCTTATGCTCCTCACGGCAGGTCTGCACAAAGAAGGCATAGGCAGACATCTTGCCCTTGGGCTTCTTCGGGTCTCCTTTAGCCATCTTGACTCTGTTAGGGGGGAGTCACAAGAACAAAGTGTCCATGCGTGCATATATGTGTATGTACAGAAAAAAAACACAAGTGACAGCAGAGACTTGTCATCAGCCATACAGCCCCTTTCTTTCTCCCCTAATATCCCCTGCCAGGGAGAGTTAAATTATTTTTCCTTGAAACCTGGGTGCAGGCATAAGCCAAGTGAAACAGGTCATGGGATTTAAGTTTTACATTGATATATTTACATCATGTCCAAAGACTGGAGACAGGCTATTAAACACACATACTCGTGCCCGCTAAGTGTTATATATGAACTAATATAAAGTATCTGTTTTGCTTGGCTCCCGCAGCGGGGCCGGCGCAGCGCGTGCCGTGCCAGCCCATGACTTAGCCCTGGAGCAGTAGCTGGAGTTCCCGTGTCCACAGCTGCTCCCAGGCAGAAAGGCCGGGCCGCTCAATCCCCCTATGCACACGCTTTACACCTATAACATTTTACACGTATAGAGGCGTGCAAAGGAGGACTGGTTTCCACCACGGCAGGACGAGAGCCGAGCGACACGGCGGCCAGCGCGAGGGAAGCGAGCCGCAAGGAAGATGCTAACTTTCGGGATGCCCCTTCTCTATCTCCACTCTCTTTTCCCTCCTATCCCACATATCTTCCCCTTCCCCAATCCCGCAGCAACGCCGGTTGTATTTTTTCCGGCACGTGGGGAGAAAGCTCGGGGGTTTTCTTTATTACTAGTGCCGTTTTAAGGCAGGCGGCCGGTGCCGCACGTGCGGGAAGCGGCGCCGGCGCTGCCGGGCCCGGCCGGCGCAGCCCGAGGCGCGG